TCACAACGATGGCGTGCACTGGGCAGAAGCCTGACCCTGCGCTGTATCTCATTTAGCCCATGTGAGCATGATGATTTCAGGAAAACTCACCTTATGAGCAAGTCCACTCAACGAAGTACTTGTGAGGGTGCATATGTCGTCGAGTTCCCAGACAAAAACCCTAGCGAAATGGGTATCGCCTGGAGAACAGGAGCCTGTCTTCTTCTTTTTGGCCGATTTTCCTCCTGAAAAACCTTCTCCATCAAGTCTGCTTTATTGACACCAACATTCGAAGCGACCAACCTTTCCGGTCACATTTCAGAGTGAAGGCTGACAGTTCGGAAGAAGCTTCTGAGGACAGAGCAGTGCCCTAAAAGGTCGTCTTCACGTAGAAAACCACAATGATCGATAACTCCTAATGACTCGCTCTAAAAGCTTACCGTATACGCTGCGGTAGCGCCAGCCGCAAGTGCATTACCGTAATAGCCGGCTCGCATACCATTGTAATATTGTGGATTATAGGCAGAATAGTCGAAACTCGTTGGATAGGAACTTCCTGGAATAGTACCAACTAGTCAAAGGCTACCGGTACTTATACCAACTAGGTTTTCTTTGATCAACTGGTACTTTAAAAACGTCTCGTTGAGGTAACTGCGTCCCCATATACCCAAATAAAGCCCTGGTCTAGACGACCACGAGATGCTCGTTACATATAGGGAGTATTTCTAGCTTTCCCGTCAGACCCCACTTACAACTCACAACTGAGAGGAAACACGGCGACAATACGGCCATAATGGTCCTCCAGCTCTGCCTGAGGCAAGACTTGCGGGCCCAGGGAGTTTCTTGAGTTTCTTTGCCCCCCCCTCCCTTCCTCCGCAAATGCGGATATGGTACCGCATGGTCGACCCCAAAAGGCCAAAAAATTAAGATTATCCGGTCGCATCTCCGGAATTTGAAGGGCGAGTCATAGGCGTAAATGGCAGCTGCTGTCGTCCTGATAGGTGCGGTGTCATTCACAGCGCTATGTGATACGAATCCCTGCAGAGCACCTATTCCCACGATGAAGCATCAGCGAGGCTTACGGTCTTGGGAGAAGTAAAAGGATAGGCGACCGACGGGGGAGCCCAGGATTTTTTGGACCCAGGGAGATTTGACATAGTAACCGCGCCAGTTGCCACTAGTTCCACTTTTAGTTTCACCCCCTCCCGATTAACTGAGGAGCCCCCGGAATTAAAATCTCGACTTTGCTAATGTCCCTGTTGTTCATCCCTCAGCGCGAAGAACGCGCGAACAGCGGCGCCGACCGTGACGTGCACCTTTCCGTTTTGTAAACAAAAATTGCGTAAATCACATAAACTCGTCCATTCAATAAACACATCGGAGCCTACGAAACGTGGGAAACTCGCGGAACCTACCGTAATAAGCCGAAGGAGTAGCGGCACCGATGCCATACGGGAATGAAGCATTCTGAGCTCGTAAACCGGTAGCCACCTGAAATCGATTAGCACTGAAATGGCTAGGAAGTACCGTCACTGGGTAGGGACAAACCTGCTGGTAGTACGAGGCAGTAGCCGTGGTTCCACCGTACATACCATAACCACCGGCTCCATATCCGCTATTGTAATAGGGATTTTGCGCTGAAAAATGGAAAATCAGTGCTGAAAATCGCCAATAAAATAGGTATATGGAACGTACTGAAAGCAGATGTTGGATCGGTGATAGCCACTAGACCAGTCGGTGCTGGCATGTCCTTGGTGGAGGTGTCAGGTAGTATTGACCACACCGATGGCGCCACCAGGTCTGAGCTGCAAAATCGACGATCTGGTCACCTGTCTGCTAAGATGAGGGCCCTTGACGAGCCTCTGATGGCCACAGAAAAGTGCTTCAGATGGAAATTATAG